GAAAGTGGAGCTGTGAGAATATGTCTTACTTCTGGTTTTAGCCAACAGGCAGGAAAAGGTATTGCTAGAGTAAACTAATTTTTTTTTTTCTTCAAGCTTCAGCTGCTGGAGACATGTGAAAGACAAGGGCAGCTGGGACCGGAAGGAAAATGTCATCTTTCACAGGAGTTAATGGTGCTAATTGCTGAGTTGAATACTGGTCCTTTAAAATTTAATTAGTAAGAATGTATCAGCATACTGTAGGAGTTTCATTTTCCTGATCAGATGCCATATCGGTTTAATTTAGGTGAAGAAGTAGGTAATCCTTCTCTTGAGATAATTTGCCTATGGCAGAGAATTTTTACATTTCCAAGTGACCAACTACTGGCCAAACCTATACTGGAACTTCTTATGTTAGCATAAGGTAACTGTGGTTCTCTAGTCCTTACAGGTGTGGTTATACATGAGGTGGGTAGGGTTTATACAGAGACATCATGCTCTTGTTAGCCAGCTAATACAGTTGGAGCGAGAATCAAACTTTCAGATAGTTTGTGTTGCTGAAAGATTCTCTGTTTAGTTTTTTGTTTGTTCAGGGTTATTTTTTTATGTGTGTTTGTGTGGTTTGTTTTGTTTTGTTTTTACCTTTGACAGCATTAGATTATCCAATAAAAGTTACTACCTCTCACAGTCAAAATAATAAAAGCTTCTGAGGTAGCACTAGTCAAGGGCAGAAGTCACCAGCTCTTAAAAAGTAGTTCTCTGGATATAGATCAAAGAAATCCTGTATGGACATACTCGGAAAAGAAGACATCTCTAACCATGAGGTGTATAAGACCTAGTTGATAAGGTTAATACAAGGCTGTTTTTCTGGCTCAGAGCAGGAGCTCAGAAGTGGTAAGACTGTAAAAATGAGAAACCCATCAAAAGAGGCTGCTCAGTTGGGCTGTCTTCTGATGGCTGCCCGGACAAAGGCTTTGCCCTTGCTGTGGGTCCTGATGGCCGCCAGGATGGTGCTAGGTGGGTACCCTGTGCCCATTGTAGATCATCATGTCTCACTGTCAAAACAAGAGAGCATTGAAGATTCCTTGGAAACTATGAATGCTTCTTCACTGATGTGGAGCTTTCCTTTGGCTGTTTTGCAGCTGAGGCAGCTTTTTGAGAGTGCTGTGCCTGCTTTCCCTCCAAAGTTTTACCTGGCAATGACCAAGTCAATGGCAGATGAGAGACAGTCTCAGCTGGAGCAGTACCTTCAGAATGGTAAGTTTGGCTAGAACAGCTTGATCAGCTTTCATATGTCAGGCTTAAACCCTTAAGGATGTGTCTCTAATTGTGGCTGCAGGATGCTTTACCTTCTACACTCTGCTAAGTAAGGATGTGTCTAAAAGGCTGGGACTAGGCATTGCAGCCCTGTCTTGTCTGGTTCACTGGTTGTAGAACAGCACCATATCTTATTTTTCTGATTTCTGAAGCAACTGCCTTTCTGCAGCTTTCCCAAAATGTAAAGGTGCAGTTTCACACTAAACTTCATTCACCTTAGCCTTCCAGTGGCAGTCTGTGGTCTGGCTCTTCTCTGTTCTTCCAGATCAGTGAGCTGAGCCAGCCATCTCTGCTGCTTCACAGCTGCCAAAGCCAACACAGGGCTGGGTGTGAGAACTCACGGCTGGTGGCTGAAAGAGGGAGGGAAAAGAGGCAGGCACTTGGGCTGGTGGAAGCGTAATATGGAACTGGGCTCTGCATCAGCCTCTTCCCTTCAGGAGTTTCCAAATTGACTTGTCATAATTATAACAGGAGGTTGTAGAAAAATTAAATCTCGGGCAAAATGTGTTGTCTTATAAATGAGGTCTGCAGGATGCTAGAATGCATCTTGTGAGACTTGTATAAGCCAAGATATTAAATAAATAAAAATATTCAACAACCTCAAAAGAAGGGGTTGTGAGGGGATGAGCTTGAAGAGGTTTTGTAACCTCTGGCCTCAAATACTTTGTGCCAGGATTTACAAAACAAACCCTCAAGATTAGTCTTTAAAACTCTTACTTGGTGATTGTTTGATCTTTCTCACTCAAGTATTCAACAGTTCCTTTTGGAGTTACTGGCCAAGAACGACCATGGATTTATGTGGCCAAGCACCTTCCTGTAGTCTTGCTTTGGGAGAACAGCAACACTACATGTGTTTTGCACTAGTCATAGCTTCAATGATTTAACAACAGACTAATAAAGGTAGCTATGCAGAAACCAAAGGATGAGTAAAGTAGTATAACCAACAGTCATGTATACATCTTTTTAGACACTAGCCATGTTTTTCATCTTTTGGCCAAGTTTGGTTTTCTCCCTCCCCGTTTTCCTCTTGTTTTTCAGTTACTTTGGATTCAAATATTGCCAATAGTGATGTCTTCAGAGTTTTTTTCCGAAAGCTACAGCAGGTAAGTTTTGAATTTTTCAGCCAAATAGTTCGTTATATGAAAGAGTTGAAATATTATCCTACCTCCTGCGTTCAAGGCTTCCTTTGCTATCTTCCTTTCCTTGCATTCTTAGAGTATTTCTGTCTCGCAAAGCAGTGAGTTCTGATAACAGAGTGCTCTATGTGAAGCCTGGGTGGCAATAATAATAGTAGTAGTATTGTTTTGTCCATATATGAACTTCTTTCTCACATGGAAAGAACTATTTGCTTTGGTTTTCTATCCTGTGGTGTATCTGATGAATCTGAACAGTTCCCAGAAGAGTCTTTGAGAGCTCAATAGAAGGATTACACACATGCTTGGATTTTGCAACTGTAAATGCTTTTTGGTAGTGTCAGTGCTTTGGACTGATAAGTGGATTGATGACTGCTGTGAAAATGTCATGTTCTCTTAGCTTGCAACTGTAGTGATGGGCAGAATCTGGCATTGTATTTGCTGTTGCAACCTAGATAACTCTTGGAAATCCATTTTCATGTGGTCCCTGACACGTATGATCCTTGGCAGGCTTGGATAGCTCTTGCTTGTGTCTGACTACTGCAAGGTGCTGTATTTCTCTTTTCTTCCCTTACCTCCTCTCCAGCTGCTGCGGCTCTTATGAGAGTAGTGGTGGTTTGGAGCAGGTGGGTGCAGTATGACTCCAACAGCATTTTCAAGGAGGGGATGCTGCTCTACTTTTACGGGAAGTGCTTGGCATGCTGCTGGTGCTACTGTAACCCCACTTGTGAGTTGTTCTGGAGAGAGGGAATGTTTTGAAGGACCACCTAAAAGGTTTGTTACTTGAGAGCTCTTTGCTTGCTATGTATGATTAAGGTTTTTAAGGGGAGTTCAGAAACGCTGTAGGAAGCGTGGTGTGAAGAAGTATTCCTAACAAATTCTAGAAAGGTTTTACCTATATATTTTGCAGGTAAAATGACACAGTTTATTTGCAGTCTTTTAAATTCAGACCTACCAAAGTGTTCAAGACAGTCAATGAAAAGTCCCTTTCTGATTTCTTTATTTCTTTTGTGAGGAGCAGTATCTCTTTCTGATCCAATGCCTGCTATAGCCCTACAGAGGACTCCCAGCAATTACTGCTGAGTCTTAATTACTCTTGATGAGTCTGATAACAGGTCTGCTAAAGAAAGTTAAATCCATCGGGAATGCCTGCAATTTGCCCTCAAACACTGCCAATAGCTTTCTTTTTGGCAAGGTTCTGGCAGGAAATAGCTCCTCAAAATGCATGTTTGCAGTGTTTAAAGATGTCTTTTGGCATGCCAGTATTCTGTGGATTTCTCTCAACATCCCATCAGAAATGATGTTGTATATTTAGGTATTTCTGTACTGCAGGCTCTTTTGGTTAAAAGGGGTGACTTGGTAAGTACATATGTAATACTCGATTTATGGGTTATGTACATATGTGTTTGTGCTTATTAAGGCATGTGATGACTGTGCTACCAAAAGCAGTCAGTTATTTTGTAGAGTTCAAGGTAGGCACTAAATTATACCTTAAATGTTAGTGCAAAGTTAGTACATTCTTAAGACATAAAACTACCTCAAATTTCTGTTCTGTAATACAATGGAGTTTCATACGTGATGTTTAGGCTTACTGCTTGGCAAAGGCAGGAGTTCTCCAGCATTTTTTTATTTACAATTTAAACTGAATATGGTTGTGCTTACATAAATTGCTGCTTCATGATACAAATAACAGTAGTGTTTTATGTGTTCTTTCATTATGGCAGAGAACAAACTCCTAAGAGAGATCACATAACTGACAGACAGGAGTGCATCCACTGTCACTAGCTGTGCACAGTGCATTTGATTGGTGTAACTGATGGCTGAATAAGTATTCATTTTGGCTATTGAAGAATCTCGCTCAACAAACTTGCTTTGGTGTGCATGTTCCAGTATTTATCAGTACACTGGGACTTGTGAGATGTTTTATGGCAGAGTGATGAAATTTCTGTGACAGCATTGAAAACATGGAGTGAAGTTCATCTTTTTTAAAGCACCTTGGTACTGTTCTTTCCTTATGCATTGTTGAAGACGCGTAGGCAGCACTTGGCATCCTACACGTTCCATAGGAGGGTTTCAGTGTTAATGCTACTTAGTGTTGAAACCAGGCGTTACCCCAGACTTGCTCTTAATTATTTTACATTGCAAGAGGGATGATTAACGAAAGATTCAAGAATAAAACATCATTAAAATGATGAAATAGTATGCTCCGTTTCTCTGTGACATTGACTGGCTTTTATTAGGCAGCCTTGGCTATCTGAAACAAGTTAGCACACACCTGTACAAGCAACCTGCCAGCTAATGTAGGAGAAGTGACAAAGGAACCGTATACTCAGGTGGTGATGAACAGGAAGCAGTTGGCCACTTTTCTGCCACCACAGCTATTTATTGAGCATAGATCTGTCTGCAGGTAAAACCAGTGCAGCTTTTGTGATAGAAACCTTCAGTTTTAGTAGAATGATATGGATGTGATTGCCAGGCTAGGGTTTTTTCTAAAAATTCGACTGCTAACTTTTTTTTCCACCTTCGCTTCTATCTTTCATTATGAGAGAGAATAGAGCTGTTCTCTCAGGTAGCCTATTAGTGCTTGCTTTGTTTTCTTGGCTTGTCTTAAAACCAGCAGTATTTAAGCTTCTCACTGAAGAGATTTGTGTATGTCACTGACAGAAATAGAAGATACAAAGGAAAATAAAACTGAATTTAAGACCTTTTTGGGCCTTGTCCTGTGTTTTCCTTCTGAATGTGAAGGTTGTGCAGAGACCAGCACTCCCTGGAGTGGGAAGGCTGTGCAAGTACCATGGCTTTACTGCAGCTGCCTGACAGTAGTGAACATGACTCATCTGTATCTGCCCTCAACATTATGCTTCCCAGCTATAATCCCCCTTATCATATCTAAAGGGCAAACTTTTCAAGTGGGGGCAAGGCCGTGCAGGTTAACCATGCTTTCCAAGCCCCTTTTTTGTCCCAGCAACACCTTTACCTGTTGCATAGGTTGTTATGGTTTGCTCCTTATAGCAAGCATGCTCTGGCTGTTTCCCCAGCAACCTAATCTCATGGGAGGAGTTGTCAGGGGACAGCAGGGCTCCTGACATGTGGGGAAGCAGCTTGGCAGAATGGATGCTTTGCTCAGAATGAACATTGCTGGAATATTTACCAATGCTATCAGGTAGTGGAGTTGAACAACCTAACCCATAACACCCCTGCAACTCCATTCTTCCAAACTCTGCAGACTTGGTCAGTGACCAAGCTGGAAAGACACATTCAGTATATGTCCTGCTACCTTCAGGTCCTAAAGACAAATGGCACAGTTCTTGCAGAAGTCATTAAGAAGATATGACTGTTGTGGCTGTGTTGTGTCATTTTTTTCATCAGGAGAAAGACAGTATGAGCAGTTACGTGCTACCCTACCAGTCTCCTTTTAACGCAAGTCAACTATATCCTTGAATTGAATCCAAGATCATGGTCTGTCTCTGTATTGGGCACCCATGGAGTAATGTGGCTTATTTGAGACGTAGCTGTGGGGACAGTCAGTCATTACGCATTTATGTATAAAACTGAGACACTTATTCTTGCAGCAGCAGAGGTTTGGAGTTAGTGATGTCGCAGGCTGACCTTTTCCAGTCTCTGTTGCTGGTAAACAGCAGCCCTTAGCATGTGCAAAAGGATTCATGTGTTGGTGAAAGGACAGATGAGAAGTTTCTGAGAACTTGAACGAATACAGCCAACAGTGCCTGATAACAGGCAAAAAGCAGTGTTCTTATGTAGTCCTTCATCAAAGGGCTCTGTAAGGCGTTTCTCCTTCTGAAAAGCAAGCATGAGGTCAAGGATTGAATAACATGAGAGCTGTGGTGTGTGTGCTATTGAGAGTGTAAGTAAAATGCAAGACAGAAATCTGCAGGTGTCACGAGGAATCAAAGTCGGTCTGATCATGGGTTGCATTTTGTTGGACAGAGCCCACGTGTCTGACCATGCAGCCTCTTCTCTGCCCTTGCAACACACTCAGCATTGTGCAGGCAGTGGAGGAATGCACGTTTAACAATCCTGTAGCTCACAAATGGGTTTGGATGTGTATGTGCACAAACAGGAGTCAGGCTGAACAGCTACAATTTAAGCACTGCTCTAAGAATGTTATTTCTTCATATCAAACCAGGTTGGGTTTCTTATTTATGGACTTCTATTTTAAAAGTACAGCTGGCCAGAAATCTGAATTTCATGTGGGAAGTTTCCATACTTTCAGACTTCCCTTGTGTGCTGGCCAGGATGAAGGTTTCTGGCCACAGAAAACTCTGAAGAATTTTAATTCAAGGATGTCTGTTTTATTTTTCTATGTTAAGATGCAATTCAGTCCCCTGACCTGCTGTTCTGTTCAACCATGTTGTAATAAGGGCCTCCATTCTCATCCTTTCTCTTTTTACAGCCCATGCTTCTTAGCTGGGCAACAAATCCCTTGAGAGTTTCCTGAGGGTTCAGGTTGGCATTAATTTCTGTTAAAACAAAATCACTTAATTTTAAGTTTTCTGATGGAAAACTAGGAGGAAAAATGTAATTCCTGGAAAAATGTAATTAACTGTGTAATAGATATGCCTTTTGGTTCCTTTGTTTGCATTTTTGGGTTCATTTGGGGTTTTTATTTTGTTTTTTAAAAGAACTTGTTCTTTTCATCAAAACCAAAACACACAGGAAATCCCCCACCAGCTCTGTATTGTTCTGTATTCCTATATTAATGACTGAGCTGTGCTTCAAGCTACGGGAGCAGGCAAGTGGGGAGTAGGCAGCAGTTCTGGGTGTTTCAGGAGATTCTACCACAGGTAGTAGAAGCAGCATTAAGTGAAGATTCAATTAAGCAGTGCAAGAAAGTGTCCAATTCTGATTACATGGCACGTTCCCTGAATTTCAGGAGCAATAGTGCAGGAAACGTGGAAAGTACTACTGAACATGTTGGCAAAACGTGGGAGGTGGTGGTGTGGGTGTTA